ATCAATTGATTATTAATTAAAGTACATAAATCAGGTCATTTGTCTTAATTTTACATCTTGATAAAGTCTTTATGCGCCAATTATCTTATTGGTTGCATACATACATGCTTTGTACAAAAGTTTTATAATAAAAGATAAACTAAGTAACAATATTTTAGAATTATTTTTAACCCCTATGAAGAGTAGGTTACCTAAATTAGCATTATTTTATTATGAAAATCTATAAAACACATTAATATTTACTTTAGTATCAAATTTCTACTCATTTTGTGGTATATTTAATTGTTTGAGAACCAAATGTTAATTTACAATTCTAAGAAATACTTTTGTATTACTGTCCTATTTTTATCACGTTTTAGTTGCATATTGTACTGTCTTTTAATTTGGTCAGAGTATCAAACTTGTTACCTTTTCGATTTATATTATATAGAACTAAATTTTCTGAAACCAAATATTATTTTTAATGTTTTATTTTTAATACAGTGAAACCTCCATTAACGAGTATTTCGCTTAATGAGCAAAATGAATTGTAAGAAAAATGACTGAGAAGTCCCGGATTGCGCGCCTGCTACATCATTTTTAAAACTTGTATACACATATCATGTGTATTTTTTAATATATTAATAATCTTCGATTTTCTTTGTCATCTTTGTCTAAATTATCGTAATTTACATTAGTTTATATGGGGATAACTGTTTCACTATAAGAGTAATAATCCGGAAATTTTGGAACGGATTAAACTCGTTAAGCGAGGTTCCACTGTAATGTCATTTCAGAATATTTATTTTTACCTTTATTTGTAGATTTTTATTTTTATAGAAAAATTGTGATTATGGTGTAATTGTATATACTAAGACAATCTACAATTTTATTTTTTCATCTGATATAAAATTATATAGAAATCTCATTGAGGCTTCAATGCAAATATGTAATAAAATTAGTTAAGTCTATAAGCACATAGCTTTTCTTACAATTAATTTTGTTTGTTAAGCTAAATTCTCGTAATGCAAGGTGCTCGTTAAGCGAGATTCCACTGTATATATATAAATCATATACAGGTATCGGGAGACTTACGAACTCCCAGACATATGAACAAAATTCTAAATGTCCTAACTTGTTATAAGGAGATATATAGTGATAAAAAAATAACTGTCCAAACTAAAATTGATAATTTCTTTAACAAAATATAATATTTTGGATGATCTGTTTTGTTGAATTTGTTTCTTTTGTCATTTTTTATTAAATAATTGTGATGTCTACATTGAAAAGTATTTGTAAGTATTTTGTTTATTTTAATCAATTTTTTCAAATTTATGTAGTCAGTAATATTGAATTTACCTTTATATGAAAGTAAAAACCATGATAAAGTGTGGTAAGATAAGTATATTTAAAAAAAATTTAAATTCCCCCGACTTATGAACAACCCTTTGGAACGGAACTAGTTCGTAAGTCGGGGGGATACCTGCATAAGAAAAATATGAGAAATAGGTTGCATATATTATAAGATCTTCATTACATTTCTTTTTTTTTATTAACCACCATTCATTATTATTCATAAAATAAAAATTGTTATTCTTAAAATAAAAAATTAAAATATCACTTATAAAAAAGTTATGTTTTCAAAATTGTATTCATAAGATTAATCAATCATGAAGGAGTTAACTCTGGGCTTTGGGTTAACATTGTTTGGGACGCCACGGAAAAACTATGTTTGAGGGCCCTCAACTAACATTCTTTGGGGCCCTCGACTGGAACTGTTTATAGGCCTACCAAGTTAACCCAAGGTTGTATTTATTTTTTGACCTTAGGGCTCTAATTAATTGAACGGGGCTCTTGGCTGCAGCCTACAAAGACCATAATAAGACCAAAATCCACCACTGTAAACTAATAAATAAAAATGTGACTAAATACTTTTAAATAATTATATACACAAATACGAAGTAATCACATGCAAAATATTGATTAAAAATAATATTTAAAAAATGTGTTCAATTGGTTGCCTATAATAAAATCAGTCTTTAAATAACTAAAAAATATCGAAATTTAAATATGAATTCAAAATAAAATGCGAACAAAATAAAAGTGTAACTTCAACCGCAGTCTAAATAATTATATTTATTTTAAGCCATGATATCCGTTCTATGCAAGTTGGAAACGAATTGCGATATAATTTGTATGTAAACTTGTATCTAGTCTGCCCGAGGCTATATAAGGTTTTATAATTACTGCTAATTAGCAACCGCTCGGGCTTCGTGATAACGATTTCCATTAGAAATTGTCGAGTAAGCAACTAAATATTGTATGAAAATTATTTGAAACATGTATGTGCATTCGATATCTAACATGTAATTTTCATATTCATAGAAATTATCAATACAGAATTATTCCATATAGAATATGATAAAAAAAAAAATATTTAAAATATGTTATGCTATTTTATCATTCAGTTCAATAGCCTATTGCATTTTTTGTTCTTTAAATTATTATATAATTGTTGTAAATAATAGTGTTGTCAATATTAACACAAATAACGTTGTTTCTGGAAATAAATATTCATATCTTAGTTATAGATTAATAGTGAGATTTTGTAACTATTGTTTCATCTTTCTTAATTATAAATTAGATATGCGAACTGAGCTCGCTTTCCTTGCGATTAGACGCAAATCTTCAATGACTGTTTGCTGCAATAATACGTTTTCTTTTCTTTTTTTTATAGAAAAGTAACAGAATTTCTCATAATAATGAAGAATGGTATTTAACTTTTCCTTCTGATTATTGCTCATAATAAAACAAACATTCGATAATAACGATTCCTACATAATGCATTTATTTCCTGTATTGAATGGAAGCGAGGCTCCCAGAAAACAGTTTCAGAATAATAATTGGATGGCTGCGTCGATGAAGCTACGGTGAAGAAGACTGGAGGAGGTGGCGTCCATTGCAACGCGAAGAAGAAGTGCGAGGATGCAACGCAATGGATGTAGTATGTATGTTAGGATATCCGGTCTTCGAACCTGGATGGACACGATGTTGATGTTGATGTTGGTTTCCCCACACGCCAACTGAAACAAAACACACTCGAACGTGACGCAAAGAACCAGCGAATGGCTTTCTTCTTTCCCATTCCCCAGCTCCGACCATTCGATCTCCGACCATCGAGCCGCGACATTCCTCCACTTCTTAGTGTTCATTTACGTACGAATTCTATACGAAGTACGAATTTTTTGTTTACGTTGTGACCGAGAATCCTGGGACAGAGAATCGATCGATCTCATTGAATAGTGAATGGTTCATATGTATTACTGAAATCTGTTACTTGAGTGTGTTTTGTGTCCAATATCATTTTTTCTCTATCTCTTTGGAATACTTTCTTTCTAATTTGAAAGGTAAGTCCAGAAAATTTAATTGGTTTCAGGATTATAACATTATTCTGATGAACATCTTTAACATTTCATTAAGATTAAGTACCATAAAATTAATTATATATGGAAAATTAATTAATTATTAATTTTATTACATATATAATTGTTGTAATTAACAAGAAATAATACAAAATTTTAGTTTAATAATTTAATTACAAAATATAGAAGTTATAAATTGAAAAATTGAATAATATATTGGTAAAAAATACTTTTAGAAGTTTACATTAAGCAAGTTTGTACGTGTTTATAGAAAAAAAATATGTTTCAAATTTATTCAACCATTTCTACTGTAAAGGTATTTTATGATTTGTCCACATACAAAGTTCAAAGTTTAGTAATTAAAAAGAAATAAATAAGTTAATTCCAATTACAATTTAATGAACTATCTATTAAAAACAAGTCTATTTCCTAACATTACAGACGAAATAACTTGTTTATTTTTAAGCAAATGAAAAGTATATTAGTAGAAACTATTTGTAGATTTAACCAGGATATTGGTAAATCCAGTTATCCAAACATCTGAGTCACTTTTTCTTCAGAATTAAAACAACTACATACAAAATTAATACAGACAAAATATATATTCAAAGAAAAGAAGAAAGTCACGAAATTATTTTTTTAGTTACAATTAAGAATTTTGCAACTTTAATTTTATAGATTTGTGTATAAGTTTAATTATTGATTACAACAAAATTATGCTTAAATATTTCTAGCTACGTCTTTTTAAATAAAAAAATATTTAACTAAAATTATAATTTTGAATTCCTTTTGAAAATTATAAAATATAGAAGAAATTTCAAATAATGTTAACTATTATTGTTTACACGAATTTGAGAATAAGAAATGCAAAAAACTGAATTAACATTTTTTATTTATTCCTATTAAAACAATTAACAAGAAGTCTTTCTCGATCATGATAAGGAATTAAGAAGAAAACCTGCTGAAAAATGCAAGCAACGTTACTTCTTTTTTAATATTTAGTATATATATAACATAGTTATATAAAACCCACGTGAGTGTTTCAAACAATACAAACACTAAGATGTTACGAGCATTTTTGCGTCATGTAGGTTATTCATTTTTCACAACAAAAGTAATTATAAAAGCAGTAAAAAACAAAACGTGATCATGAAAACTAGTTATTTTTTTCCAAATTAATTGACACATGTGTGTTCTAGTCACTTTAAGTGTCAAATATGTCAAAATTTAGTGTGAAGTAATTGGTTTTAATTTATTATATAAGAAGTATAAGGAATATAAGTAATATTACAGTGAAACTTACAAATTTTAGTTATATTTATATTAGTTTTTGTTGCTAATCGTGAGGTTATACAGAAATGTTCTTTGTTTAACTTTTGTCGTATAACAAACCTATTTTTTTAACTGACGGTTAACTATTAGAATACTTTTGTTTATTTCTGTTTTTTTTTTAAGAAAATAATGTAGAAAACGGAAATCGATTATACCATACAAATATTTGTTCGCATCTGAAGTTCGCCTGTCCGGGACACATAAATTCGCTTAATGTCCGTGTAATTTATTGCATAACAC